ACTGCATATACAGCAAGCGTATTATCTAAACTGGGCCAAACATGTGTTTCCTCCAACCTCAGCATGTTCAACAATAAACGGCCTATTATTAAAGCCTATCACCCCAAAAGGCAAAAAAGATATACGAAATTTGTCCAGATATTGTATGTCTATGTAAGTTAATTAGAAAGAACCGTGGACCCTGTCACTCGTCTTTTGTTTTGGTGGTTTCCTTGAAAATAAACTGATTCTGAATCTGAGCCAAAGCCCTGTCTTGCACGGTGTCTTCACAGGACGTCCACCTTTTGAAAATCAGGAATGCATAAGTCGACCTGCAAGCCAACAAAGAAAACATTGATCCGAATACCCATTCCTCCGATTGCTTTAGACCCTTGTACGTGTGTCATTAATAGACACATGCATCAGACAAATGAATCCAAGTTTTGGCTCATTAAAAGCCTTCACAAGTACGCCCCCTCCCCACGTCATAGCCTAGCACTTGCGTAATGAACGGTATCAGGTTACAATGTACATAAACGCTATCGATGATACTCATGTTTGTTCAGTATATTTCGAACATCTGGATCTCGAAAATATCTCGAGACACGAGGGGCGGTCGGGTAGCCTAATGGTTAAAGCGTTCGCTCGTCTCGCCGAAGACCCTCTCGTGTTGTGTTAAAACAACGTTCACTCACTAAGCCACATGGAGAGCGTCTAATGTTCCCTTCGTGGAGACGAGACAATGAAAGAAAATATAATTACAATCATGTTTTCATTTTGTCTCAACTAAAAATATCCGCTTAATGAATATGGTCTTATATATTCTTAATGAGAGTATCCATGATTGGAGTATCCATGTTAAAGATAGGCATGCACCCCCTCTTTTCTCTCTCTCTCTCTCTCTCTCCCTCCCCCCTTCTCCCCCCTCTCTCTCTCTCTCTCTTTCCATCTCTCTCTCTTTCTCTCTCTCTCTCTCACACACACACGTGGCTAAATAAGGGCAATAATCTTGAACGCGACCGTAAACCCCATCTCACCTCACCTCTCTTATCTTTTCAATACGTTGTGATTCAAGCCGACACAAAGTCAAGTACCTGTTCCCAAGGGAACGCCGTTTGGGTTGGGAAAGCAAATACAGCTTATCTTGACGTCGATTTATAATGCACAATTTTCTCCGGGACATTATGTTTGCTTATCGTCAGTAAAGTCATTTGCTCATATAAATTACTCTCGGTATACATGTACGTGAAACTAAGTGTGCTCAAAAGATTGTTTAAATAGTTTCTCACATAAGGTTAACAACGCCATGTCATAGACTTCAGCGAAACCCTGGCTGGTCTCGTCAAGACTCGGATATTTACAGTGTGTGGTGTGGTGGAGTGTGGTTTTGGGGGGAGGGATGTGGGGTGAGCTGGGTTGGGTTGAGGTGGGGTGGGATAGGTTGGCTTGGGGTGGGTTGTAATGGGTTGGGGTGTGATGGGTTTGGTTGGGTGGGGTGGGGTGTGATGGGTTGGGTTAGGTTGGGTTGGGATGGGGTGGGTTGGGGTGTGATGGGTTGGGGTGGAGTGGGTAGGGTCGGGTTTGGTTGGGTGGGGTAGGGTGGTGTGTGGTGGGGTGGGACGGGTTGGGATTGGGGTTGTGTTGTGTTGTGTTGGGGTGGGGGGGGGGGGGGGGGTGGGTTGGGTTGGGATGGGATAGGCTGGGTTGGGTTGGGTTGGGTTGGGTTGGGTTGGGTTGGGTTGGGTTGGGATTGGATGGGTTGGGTTGGGTTATGTTGGGTCTGGGTCTGGGTCTTTTTGGTTGGGTCGGGGTGGCTTGGGTTGGGTTGGGTTATGTTGGGTCTTGGTCTGGGTTTGGTGGGGTGTATATGAAGGAAGGGTAGACTATTTGGTTCACGAACGTCAACGGGCAGTGAACCACCAGCTATAACCTATGGGCCATATTTTGCGATAACGTGTAAACACCCACGACAGATTCAATACGATTTCGCATAACTTGGCTCTCAGCGTCATCTTCATTGTGATGAACTGATTTGCGTTACGAAAAACTAGGGTAAGCGTTATCACGTGATACATGTTATGCAAATAGTCCATATAATCTGCCGGGCAAAAAAAGGTGGATTTGACCCAAACATTTTTCAGCCAAGTAGGATGAAAAAGTCCCCAACACGCTGCAAACTTTAGGGCCAAAGCATAAAAACTTCTGTTATACCCGTATCAGATATATCCCCATCGTAAAACCATTTCCTGTTTGTTTCATGTTAAGCGCTACACTGAACCAGGCAATGACCCAATGGCCGCCTCCACCAGACGTATTTACTATAGAAAAACGCTAGAACGGATGGTTAAAATATTTTCTTAGCATTTCCATGAAGGCTCTTGCAATGTATATGTCACGAGAATAACGTCCATTGTTACTTTTAGTGAAGGAAAACATTATTTGAGCTGTCGTCATATCGGTGAAATGTAAACAATGACGCACACCACATTTTCAAAGGTGATATATGCGTTAATGTTTCGTGTCAGCTCATTGTTGTCACGAAATCGTACTCATAATACCCGGAATTAAACGACCACGTCAATGAAATTTGATGAAGCAAATGGGTCAGTGTAGCGCCAGCGCAGCATACCCAGGGAACCAGGCTGTCAGAACTCGCGACAATGCATCAGCAGTAGAGTTACCTTTGCCTTTGATATGCTTGATGTCTAAATCTAATTCTTGCGAAGGCAGGTTCCAGCGCCATTGGCGTTGCTTTTTGTTTTCATTTTATGAAGAATAGTCAAAACATAAACTACCTCACACTATCAAAATCACCATCGATATCCTTTGAAGTACCCCACCTGTCAAACAGAATTTCCGAGATACCATGCCGCAGTTTAACATAAATATCCCACCCAGACACAATATACTGACTCCGAGCCGACTGGTCCTTGTCTTAGTCTCTTAATGTCAAGCGCCAGGCGGGGTAACAACAAGTCCCATCTTTTACCGTCTTTTGGTACGATGTGGCCGGGGATCGAACCCGGACCTTCCGCTCTCCGGGCAGACTCTCTACCACTAGACCACGGAGGCGGTCCTCCACGTTCCATGAAGGACGGAAAAGAGTAAGTGAGTTGGGTTTAACACAGCTTTGAACCAACACGGTGTAGGTCTTAGACGTTTAGTGTGATGACACGGTCTGGTGGTCACATCATTGTGGAGGTAATAAAATTAGGGCTGGATAAAGGTTTATCTCTGTATCCATGGTAACATATATACTAAAAGAATATGGCAAAAGTGACGTAAACTGGATGCAATTTATGGACGTTTACCACATTGGTAAAATCCATAAGTACTGGTATAGTGTTGACAAACCAGGACGAACCGGGATTCGAACCATAATCACCTGTTTCTGACTTGCCTGAGGGACGACACTCTGCGTGGCGAACTGCGGTTATTTATGTGACTGTCATGTCATCCATGTCCCCATATATCGACAACTAATTGATGACGCTTATGATGATATGGACTCCGTACATGTGACATCAGAGCATCATTTCTCTAATTGTAAACGACCATAACTAGATATTTCACCTTAAGAGCTTGTGTAAATTCTTGAAATTAGCCATCTTGAAATTGGCGGCCATCTTGAATTTTTGTAGATTTGTCAATAGTCGATAACATTCAGTAGTAGTTATTGTCTTTTTTTGCAATAAAAAAAACATGCTTTTTTCATCAAAACATTGACCTTCATCTGAAATATGAAGATATATTGATAATTGGTGGCCATATTGGATTATGCAAATTAGACATATTTCCCATACTGGGATTGCTCTGGACTTTAATAAGTATGTTGTTTTCGGGACCCTGTAGAAATGCATTGTGGTGAAATAAATTCTGTTGCAAGTGAAACCTTATTTTGCATGGACTAATACCCATTAGCGCGCATTAGATGCAAGCATAATAATCGGAGCGAATCTGGAATTTGAACCCACGGTCAGCAGACCCTGGCCCGACACTGCACATCGACAGGTTAAATAGAATCACTAGACATAACACTGTATTCACAAAAAAATATTGTAATATCATATGGTCTCGAACATTGGACGTTTGTGCTTGAGATCTACGTTTCAAGGATATATCTGACATGAGAGTAGCGTCCCCTGGTAATGTCCTTGACCCATTGAAAGCGGCGTGGTTGAAACCGTTTTGCTCCCGACTAAAGAAAAGTAACAGTCAGGTAGTGTGTACAAGATATATTTGCATTTGCAACTCCAATAAGCAGACAAAATGCATTTGTTATCTTTTTGTCTTGATTATTTTAAGATAATTTGTGTTTGAAAGTGAGTGTTTATCTGCACCGGGTCAGTTGTCTGGGAAATATATGGTGTCACATCATGTCGTTGCAAACTGGAATGCCTGATATGTCTTCTATCGGTATAAGAAATGTGTCGGAATCGATGCACAATGATTAAAAAACAAAACTCAAGAGTGCCGTTGTACAAAACAGTACCACGACTGCAACTGCAACTGTCTTCAGGAACAGTGATACTTCCTGAAGACAGTTGCAGTCGTGGTACTGTTTTGTACAACGGCACTCTTGAGTTTTGTTTTTTAATCATTGTGCATGTCTTTAAATAAACACGAATTGCATGATCTTTAATATGGACACAAGGTATCCACTATGTGATATTCTTAGGGGGTTGGGGCTGGGGGAGCGATCCGCCATTTGAAAAACAAAAAAAATATAATAATTTGTTCCTGAACACAAAAACTAAAAAGAATTAAAATCTTATTTGTTTTACAAAAAAAAAAGATATTTTTTTTCGCTGGATTCGTTAGATTTCCTGAAAAAAAATGTATTGTGACTGTTCCAGAACCAAAATGCGTATTTTGAATTTTGGGTCTGGAAATTAAGGAAGCACTGGGTGTGATGTACATGTACGTAGTGTTTTTTGTTAAAAGGTTTTCAGCCCTATGGGGCAGCATGGCTGAATCAGCTTTAATGTCAATGTCTAACTCCAATATTTTATTCTTTGCAGAGTCTCCGGCACTGGACCAGACCGACAAACTAAAGGTTCATCATGCCGATCCAGTTTTCTAAAAGTCGCATCCTTGGAGTTGTCCTATTGACATCTTTTATGGTGTTTGCAATGTTCAAATGGACCAATCTCAAGAACGTCCAGGTTGTCTATATGAGTACTGGTGGTTCGGGGAAAAGCATACAAGCGCCTGTCGCCTCAGTAAACACTGTGGTGATATCAGTAAGTAGGTTTGCTCATTTGACAACTGTTTGTTCTTGGTTAATACACAATCTGATTAAAATAAGATATTATACTCCCATACCATACTTCTCCTTCATATGTCGCGTGGGGTGAACTTTCTAATCGGCCAATCAGCGTCGATGCTTCTACGTTCTCTACTAGCGAGCAAAACATTCGGGCATCTCGAAAACGAACGTTACGGCCAGTTCCGAATGCAAACATTAATGGCTGCGCCAATTGTGGGTATGTCACACATACATGGTTATTCCTGAGCGCAATGGCATCTGTACACAAAAGGGAATACCATTGAATGAAGAGTAAGTTCTATTCTTAGGGTTTCCTTTACAATTTTCGAATCGAGGGGGTAAAGAAATGAATTTGAAATTTGACATCTGATTGGCAAGAGAACCAACGCATCCTTTGTGGGTGGTCAAAGTTGTCACACGCTTCCCGACGTGACTTATAGTAGAGGAGTTGTAAGATCGTCTTGCATCGCATGGTATGGGAGTAAAAGATTTGATTTTAATAAATGGTGCAGAATATCATCTCTAACCATTGTCTGTCTGTTAGTTTGTTTGTTTGTTGTTTAACGCCGTACTCAGCAATGTCCCAGCTATATGACGGCGATCAGTATATAATCGAGCCTGGACCATCCATGCAATTGGGATACGATGGCATGAATCAACAAAGTCAACGAGACTGACCACCCGATCCTGTTAGTCGCCTTTTACGACAAGCATAGGTTGCTTAAGACCAATTCTAAGCCGGATCTTTACAGTAGACCTTCAGGATAAGATGATACACCAACCGCCAGGTCAGATGATCACCCAAGACCAATTGTAGCCCGGATCTTCAGGGGTCTTACCAGAGTGACTCTTGGGGTCATATGGTTAACCTGGACACCGACTGACTTGCAGCTGTCACGGTGATTTAGTGTATATGGACAGCGACTGTCAAAGTGATTTAGTTAATCCGTACAGGTTTGAAATTAAACCCCTTAGAATTCGGGTTGCAATTGGTTTCGAGCAATTGTAAATGCTTCTCATACGAGTCGACTTAATGGATCTGGTGGTCAGGCTCGATACCTTCCGTGGATGACCTCCCGTTGCTTAAGTTGCCTATTATATCAATTACTGGTTATCTAGTCCGGATTCGAATATTTTCATGTCATATTATACATGCAGCTGGAATAGTTCCAAGTGTGACGTTTGACAAGTTACAACTAACATATACAGGTCCACAGTAATATAGGCGTTTCCCGTACTGGAGCGGGGCGGTCGGGTAGCCAAGTGGTTAAAGTGTTGCTCGTCACGACGACCCGGGTTCGATTCCCGACATGGGTACAATGTGTGAAGCCCATTTCTGGTGTCCCCCGCCGTGATATTGCTGGAATATTGCTAAAAGCGGCGTAAAGCCAAAACTCACTCACTCACTCACCGTACTGGAGCTTCAATGTTGGGCTTAGCATACAAAGCAACCTGTTAAGTTAATGGCACAAAATTAAATCTAGAACCGAACGAGCAAACATATGTCTACCTTGTGTATAGCACCTTTAGAAAATATTTGATAATATATTTATATTTATCAAATAGAAAACTTTAAATGAATGATGACTGCAATTTATTGAAGTATAACGTCTTTGATGTTTCTCGGTTGCATTAATGACATACTTTGTGGTTTGTCAGCATCCTTCTACGTGGTTCCATCAAATTGGTAAACGTCTGCAACCTACGTCAATTCAGGCTTTCCTGCCAGATTGAATAAACACCCTAATGGAACTCAATTAAAGATTAAACATTCGTCTAACATCCTCACTAAAGGCACTGTTTCCATCAACCTATATTTCTTTCAGAAACCCTCTACACAAGGACAACCTATGCCCACTTCACAGGTGTTGAAAACGTTGGACAGAGCACAGCTGTCACAGATATACCACAAGTAAGGCCTGAAAAAATAGATTATGCCCATGAATGCCAGTGAACAGTGAAAGAAACCAAACATCAATTTAGAAATGTGTGCAGTACATCAATAACGCGCAGATCGACATAGTGATTGTGTTACTGAACAAAGGAATCGTACATACCTCAATTCAGGCATTGCAGGTACAGAGCGGCCTTTCTGCGTGTGGATCTAAATCTATACCCAATATCAAATATGCCTCCACTCGGTGTCGTTTCCCACCACTGCATTTGTGCTGCACTCAGCAATATATGACGGCGGTCTGTAAATAATCGAGTCTGGACCAGACAGTACAGTGACTGAGACAATGAGCATCGGTCTGAATTGATGTATTCATGTTAAAGTATCTGGTCGTCAGGCTCGGGAACTTGGGTTTTGTGTGTTATCGAACCTTTGTGACGTGTGACGTCGTTCATCATATCAACCACTGGTTTATTTGGTACAGACTCTGGAACTCATTATTTACAGGCCTTCGTGAAATAGCTGAAATGTTGCTGACTGGCGTGGAACAATATACAAACCTTGAAATATATACAAACGCTTAAGAGTTTAAACTACAGTAACAGTTTAATCTTTTTTCAGCTATGTGAACAGCGTTCAGATGTCATGCAAGAAGGTGGCCAGGCGTGGCAACGCCGGCGACGGTGGCTGGAATGTTTGTGAAGACCCTCCCTACGAAATCAAGACACCCTGCAATATTTATTCCTTTGGGTAGGTCTGGTCGATTCCTTGTCGCTATAGCAACAGTATTCCCATTGTGATGTTTCATACTGAAAACAATCGGTGAACTCCCACCACCAGTCTTTGATCGATACTGGCTTAGACTTATATCTGTGGTACAACTATTAGCAATGAGACATTTTCCATTGTCGAGACCCTGAGAACCTGATGACCTTGAGCTCCGAACGAAGATCAATAAATAACATGCCAACGCAGCATTAACGACCTGGCTGTTACCTTGACACTTGCTCATGGGTAGAACGTGGTTATTGATCGAGTCACACAGGATCATTACTGGACGCCGAGTACAGTAACATTTACGGGCGGGGTAGTGTAGTTCTTGGCTGGTGTTTCTGATGAATTCCGCACAGCCCATCATCTGTTCTGTCTGTGGGGCGGTTGGGTAGCCTAGTGGTTAAAGCGTTCGCTCGTCACGCCGACGACCCGGGTTCGATTCCCGACATTGGTACAATGTGTGAAGCCCATTTCTGGTGTCCCCCGCCGTGATATTGCTGGAATATTGCTAAAAGCGGCGTAAAACCATACTCACTCACTGTTCTGTTTGATGAGCAGTTAACCCATCTGTAGGCATCTGTTATGAATGACGCAACCTTTGCTTTTATACTATAAAGCAATTAGTCGTTCAACTCAAATCCTTAAGAACATTTGAGTTTTCCACATAAGGAAATGCTTACTGCACCCTTGGTCGTTATTCAACCAGACAGGAAAGCTTCATACAGTTTGTTTTTATGCGATAAACAGCTTATTCTCAGGAAGGCGACACCTCGACGGGAGTATATACAAAACGCTAAAACGGTTCATCTCTGGGCCAGGTAACCAATTAACTTGAACAATGACTATAATGTGTTTATTTAAAGGGGAAGTGTACACACAAAAGTCACTTTCTATATTTTTCTAAACAAAACGCAATTTTAGAATTAGTTAGTATCTGTGTTTGAAAATATACACTCATTTTTTTCACAGTGAAAGTAGGAAGCTCACAATAGTGTGAAAATGATATGCCGTTATGAGGCCCTCGTTTTTCGAGCTAAACAGGCCTGAGTTATCCCCCTTAGATTATGACGTAATTGGTGCCAATTCAACTGGGTCCCTGTCTATTCTCAACGCAAAAGATATCAAGTACCAGTTTGTGGTAAAACAACATGGCCTACGACACACTCCGGCGCAGTGGTGACTCAGCATAACACTATGCTGGCTGGCATCTGAGACGCTAGAATCACACACCTGTACCTACACCACGTGAAGCGGCTCTAACAAAGCATGATGACGTCATAATGTTTATCAATTGGCACCAATGACGTCATATTGTAAGGGGCATAAGCCATGGTGTTTTTGTTATGGAAATAGAACACTTGGTAAATGTGAAAAATATAAATCATTTTAATGCAAAAATTATGTCAATTATTAGTGATATTTTTATATTTTTGTCTATGACACTTCTAGGTTAACACTTTTAATGTGGAAAAAGTACAAGAAAAATAGGTTCATTTCCGTGTGAACTTGCCCTTTAAGGCATAAATTGGAATCCCGAACGTCTACTTCGTCTAAATATACCAAGAGAAGAAAGACTCTGTCAGCTCTGTGATTCACTTTGAGTAGGAGATGAGTTTAACACATCTTTTCAGATGCGAAGCTCTTCTCCAACAAAGACTTCTGTATATTCCCAAGAAATTCTACTTGTGGCCAAATATTTTTTAAACTCTGTAGAACTGTATCATCCAAAAAGATATAAGAAATTTGTCCAGATATATTGTATGTCTATGTAAGTTAATTAGAAAGATCCCGTCACTCGTCATGTTCATATCTTTTGGGGGCGGTGGGGTAGCCTAGTGGTTAAAGCGTTCGCTCGTCACGCCGAAGACCCGGGTTCGATTCCCGACATGGGTACAATGTGTGAAGCCCATTTTCTGGTGTCCCCCGCCGTGATATTGCTGGAATATTGCTAAAAGCGGCGTAAAACCATACTCACTCACTCACTCACTCACTCATATCTTTTTGTACCCCGATGGCGGTTTCTTTGAGATTAAACTGAATCTGAATCTGTATCTGTCTAAGACGTTTAACTTATCAGTAGACTTTGTTGATGCGTTCTACGTGTACATACATTTTACACGTAAAATATGTATACTTCCCTTAAAACAACACTTGTTTTAACACACAAAAAAGATTAACAAACAAAATTTTGTCTTTACCGTTATACCTGCCTTGAAGCCAGACGCAAATTGTTTTTAAAAGAGTCCATGTAGCCGTCATATACATGTCAGATAGATAAAGTATGTGTACAGTATTGTGTGGAATTAAATACGATGTTGATATTATGAACGTGTTCATCTGGCGAGACATTTAAAAACAATATGTCTAAGTATAGTTTTGACACGCTGAGTTAACGGTAATATATGCACACACACACACACACACACACACACACACACACACACACACACACACACACACACACACACACACACTGATATATATTTCAGGTTACAAAAACATCAAATCTTAAAATGAAGGAAGTCTCTGGGCTCCTTTGTATTATATGTTATAACTAGTATTTAACAACTGTTTTATTTGTAAAATATGTTCATTTCAGAGACTAGATGCTAGTCTAGGTCCACATCATCAACATGGTACATGTATTGAATATGTTGTTAAATACACCTTTTATCTCAGGGCGTGCCCTTGACGTATTGAAAACAAATTCCAACCACATCACTGGGATATATAAAACGTATAAAGTTACAAAAACGTATTTTTGGTTCGGGTAGTTTCGGACCATATTTGATGGGGTGAGATTGTAAGATCACCAGTTAATTAGTGATATCTACTCATGGTATAGTTAATTTATGTCACAACCATTTGATACGCCTTTCAGGATCAACAACGACTGGAGTTTCGACGATGCGGTTGCTACAACATACGGCTGCCAGGTGCACTCGTATGACCCCAGGTGTGTTCTTAGGCCTTATCCTCCTTTGTTAAAGATCAAGTGTCATGTTAAATTAGTGTATAGTTGAAATCTCAGATACCAGAGCCATGTCACCTCTGGTGCAGTCCCGTACGATTATGATTATGATTATTCACAGGACGCCGTGACATGTCTCATCCTACCGGGTACCCATATTTAATGCTAGCTGAACAGAGGCATATTTCGAACAGAGTTGCCTGCCTCAGCAGACGCCACATGTGTTACATGTGCTTCAGTGAGGGGGAGGGCTGACTCCATGGAAGCTCTCACGGCCGAACACGGTCACCCATCCAGCTACTCTCCGCGACCGACGTTGCCTGATTAATGAGCTCATGAGCAAGCGTGAGCAGGCATTCTATGTAAAAATCCCAGTCTACACTATTACTTGTACCAGCTACTACACGGATATGACTGTATGTAAGACACATACGAATAATGGCAGAGTGGCTTTAATGTACAGACGGATCAAGGGAGCTGTGGGATAGCCTAGTGGTTTAAGCGTTCGCTCGTCACGCCGAGGACCCGGGTTCTATTCCCCACATGGGTACAATGTGTGTAGCCCATTTCTGGTGTCCCTTGACATAATGATGCTGGAATATAGCTAAAAGGCGTAAAACCATGCTCGCTCACTCACTTAAATTGAATGCCGAATACCAAGACAAATAATGTGGTGTGCGGAATGCTAAGAGTAGTGGTTGGCACCCTTACGCATCCTGTTCCCGATTAATAAAAAAGTCCGTCCGTAGTTTCGTGGGGACGAGTTACCAATTTGAGTTCTTTTATTGCTTTAACGGACGTGGAAATGAGCTCTCGGTAAGCTGACACTAATAACTGCAACCATTAGACAGCTGTATTGATTTGGGTGGATCTTCAAGCGCCGGCTATGACACGGACAACTGAATCCCTAGCAACTAAGTATACGTAAATATATACACCGTGTACCTTTGTTATACACGATACTGACATTATGAATTCCACTACCCTCATATCAATATTACCTGCCATAAATTCCCAGGTGTTATAAACATACAGAGCTCCTCGAGGTAATATTATCATGGTACATGTAATCAGAAGAAAAATACTCGGAAATCCCAGACAGTATGTATTAATCGACACAAAATACGTTTGTAGACCTGATCGATTGCCCCTTATAAATAATACAAAAAGAAAAGATACAGCTGGCCGGATCTAATCTCCAGGGAGACATTCCCGTGAAGATCCGGGGTAGAATAGGTCTTAAGCAACCCATGCTTGCCGTAAAAGGCGACTAAGGGGATCGGGTGGTCAGGCTCGCTGACTTGGTTGATGCATGTCATCGATCCCAATGGCATGGATCGATGTTCATGATATCAATCATTGGATTGCCTGGCCCAGACTCGATTATTTACAGGCCGCTGTCATATAGCTGGAATATTGCTGAGTGCGGCGCTAAACAACAAACCAACCAACCGACCAGCCAGGGAGACATAAGTGTTTGTGGGTATTGTGGCTTTATCTTATAAGGAAAGTGGAATGCATGCAACCTTTGTATTGATCCAGTCAGCATCATTCTCTTCTGTTCGTTAAGCGGAATAGAAACTGCATCTATTGTTTCGTTAGTTACACGCGTATGACTACCAAGAGCGACGGGTCACTTTGAATACATTCCGATAAAAGGCAAACGTATTGACTGAGAAAGGGAACATTCATTTGCATATTCAATACTAGGAGGAGAAGTAGTAAAACATGTATTAACGCGTCCTCACAAATAACAAATACGTTTTGTATATGACCTATTTTTGAATAGGGACGTATCATGTTTCGCCCTTGGCAATGCTCGGAGGCGAGTATCCAATTGATTTGAATTGGGAGGTATTTCTTTTTTAACACCTGTCACCAACTAAACTATTTATATGCTGGGCACCATCAAACAATCTATCCGTTTTCACTATGAAGGCGAAAATGACGTTTGGGTATTTTCCACAAACCACTCAGTTTTGTCGCTACTACCAACAAACCATTCGTTCACACCCCCCCCCCCCCCCCCCCCCCCCCGCGGGACAGAATAGGTCACCAGCATCCAAAGCTGATAACATTAGCTGACAGTAATGAGGTAGGTTCACAAATCAATTATTTACTTAACACTGCGCTTCAGGTATCAGTGGGGCGGTCGGGTACCCTAGTGATTAAAGCGTTCGCTCGTCACGCTGAAGACCCGGGTTCGATTCCCGACATGGGTACAATGTGTGAAGCCCAATTCTGGTGTCCCCCGCCGCGATATTGCTGGAATATTGCTAAAAGCGGCGTAAAACCCCACTCACTCACTCAGCCACTCAGGTATCAGTGTTTTCCCATGTTTTCTCATTGTGTCGCACGTGCAATGTATTTCCTGGAACTAATTGATTCAATAATTTACACACTTGATCATTGGTTAATGACTCGCATACGACCTTCACGCGGAAGATAGTGTGTCTCACAGACCCGAAACTTATTATTTTCCCTTCCGGTCAGCCCTTACTGTAATGCTGGAGTTCCAAATGAGGCAAGTCTAGATTTCCCCACAGGTTCTAAATTTCCCTTCTTACCGGGGCCCCTTTTCAATTCAAATAGAGTCGTTTTTCTATCAGAATATCTATTTTTTATTTTTATCCCACATAGAGTGAAGTACTTTTCTATCCCTGTCTATCCCACACCAAATGACGTTAAAAATGGTTCTTGTTGTTACCCTGCCTATGGGGATAGAACAAGAACACAAGTACTGGTGAGCTTGGAGTCAATGTACCCATCCCCCAGCAACACAAACACACACACACACACACACACACACACACACACACACACACACACGTGCATGCACATCCCTATATAAGTGCAATAATCTTGAACAGAACAATCTTCTGCTCCATTTCACATCACCCCCTTGAATGATGAGGATCATTCCTCCTGGCAAGAGGTGATATAACTAAAAAATGTGTTAAACCCGACTCACTCACTCATTTGTTTTGTTTCAGCATGACAAAAGTGAAAGATCACGACAGAAAACCCAACCTGCACTTCCACCGGACAGGCCTCAACATATCTGACGAAACGAACAAAATGGGCTGGCGCATGCGCACTTTCAGCTCCATCTTGAAGGAAAATGGCCACTCGCAGGTAGGAAAACGGGCAATTTACGATGTCAGTGACTGTCATATAAACCCCGTTTGTCTGGACGGCGGCGCCCCCTGTAAAATCGACCGGGTTAATGAATTTCCGAATTTATGAAATGGTATGAGAAATATTCATTTGTATCCATTTTGACGTTTCAATCAGTAATTGTCCGAAAATTGAGATTCAAGTCCCGGATAACCGGGGCTTGGACTAAACAGCTTCAATACAACATTAAAGGGCAAGTTCACACGGAAATTAACCTATTTTTCTTGTACTTTTTCCACATTAAAAGTGTTAACCTAGAAGTGTCATAGACAAAAATATAAAAATATCACAATTAATTAACATATTTTTCGCATTAAAACGATTTATATTTTTCACATTTACCAAGTGTTCTATTTCCACAACAAAAACACCATGGCTTATGCCCCTTGCAATATGACGTCATTGGTGCCAATTGATAAACATTATGACGTCATCATGCTTTGTTAGAGCCGCTTCACGTGGTGTAGGTCTAGATGTGTGATTCTAGCGTCTCAGATGCCAGCCAGCATAGTGTTATGCTGAGTCACCACTGCGCCGGAGTGTGTCGTAGGCCATGTTGTTTTACCGCAAACTGGTACTTGATATCTTTTGCGTTGAGAATAGACAGGGACCCAGTTGAATTGGCACCAATTACGTCATAATCTAAGGGGGATAACTCAGGCCTGTTTAGCTCGAAAAACGAAGGCCTCATAACGGCATATCATTTTCACACTATTGTGAGCTTCCTACTTTCACTGTGAAAAAAATGAGTGTATATTTTCAAACACAGATACTAATTAATTCTAAAATTGCGTTTTGTTTAGAAAAAGAAAGAAAGTGATTTTTGCGTGTACACTTCCCCTTTAAGCAACCTATAAAATCTAAACATACCGGAAGGATGCATCGTATAACAATTTACAGTCATGGCGCTAACGTATCTGAAATAAAGCATTGCAGGTATGAAAGAGTACTTACTGAAGCAAGGATATAGAGTCTCAGTCTACTGCATTCTGACCCTGTTTTTCTCCTGAAATAAGCATTCATATCGTTTGCGGGATAATTATGTTTGGACGATAATGATTTCTCGAATAGTTGATAGAGGTTTCTGTAGTAAATAAATCACTTTTCACCAACTGACGAAACCATTGCAACGAAATGAGCTTGTTTTGTTCTTTATTCAGGAGTATCCGTTATCTTTCAGGCTGTGATCGATCTACTGAAGATTGATATTGACTATTCGGAATGGTGGGCATTTCCTGAAATGTTAAAAAGTGGAGCTCTGAAAAATGTGAAACAGTTTTGTTTTGAGATTCACGTCAAGCTGAACGGTCAGCCAGAGCCGGACATAGACAAGTACTTGAAAGGTCTGGAGCTGCTGAGAGACTTCTACAATGCAGGTTTTAGGATATTCCTTACGAATAAAAATATGGACGCTAAATACAAGTCAGTATTTGGCATGGAGCGAACAGGTTGTCATGAGATTTACATGGTACGCAGCGACACACAGACATTTGGATAAAGGGTTAGTGTGCAAGGTAATTTGGTGTTGCAAAAATATGCATTGAATGTCTGGATAAAGGGTTAGTGTGCAAGGTAATTTGGTGTTGTAAAAATATGCAATTGAAAATGCTTTTATCCAGCGGCTGCATTTTGATCAAAAAAGAGGCATGGTAATTTTCTTAGTAGATTGAAAACAAATATATATGCCATCGACAAAAATTTGTAGTTTCACCATTTGTGAGTAATCTGCTGTTAAATGGGATTTGTCTCAAAGACTGCCTGTTGTTTTTGTTATCAAATCGTATTTCATCCTCCAACCAAAAATATTGCTCAGCTAAAGTTCTGACTGATGACACAGATGCAATAACCAATATATATTCTGCAGTAAATGATATTATTGTTTTATACAGAGACGGTGTCTTATTTTGTAGTACACCGTCTCTAACTTCGGGAGCAGTCTATCATGTAAAGAATCACACATTCGGTGATTGTGGGTAAATTGCACGAGTCATAGGCACCATACAGGAATCAACGTTTCTACAAAAAAAACTGCACAGTTCTCATATCATCCCCCGCCCCAACGAAGCGTGCGTGCGTGCGTCCCGAAATCGTTTCTGGAGCATACATCAGAAACCGTTAAATATTTCTCTTTGAAACCTTGCATGTCTATCAGCTGAACTGGTGTCTTTTGCAGTTTATGAATTTTAGAAATTTGTATTTTTTACGTTTCCATGTAAGTTAGACTTAGGTTCTATAAGGGTGGTATTCGTTTCCGGAACGTAACTCAAAAACCGTTAGACACTTCCTCACAAAACTTTGCATGTCTACTAGGCACATCCCGAACTGGTGCCTTTTGATATTTAGAACTTTAAGAAATTTTTAGTTTTTACGTTTCCATAGCAACAAGTTGGATTCAAGTTTTAATATAGGGTGGGTTCACTTATGGGGTATAACAAATAAACTCTTAAATATTTCCTTGCCAAACATTACTGAACTGGTGCCATTTGATATTAAGGAGTTTTAGAAATGTTAATTTTAGAATTTCCATTGCAGCTATTTTGACACGGACTAAGAGAAATGTTGGGTCAGTTACCTGGTTTGGGACCATAACGACGGAGTCGTGTTAAAATGGGCGGGGGATATAGATGACTTCGTCGACTATACGCTTGTTTTACTTAAATTGGGATTATGATTACCCTTCTGAATTGTAATCTTCAGTGGAACATGGATTCCAACATTATGAATGCATTGCAGTTAACAATGGAAACCATGCTTTTCTACAGACAAATGCGCACATATTTTGCTTACATTTTGTTTATGATTGCCTTTTACAATTTATTAAACCATGTAGTTATGCCACGACATACCGTTGTGGGGTTTAATGTTTGAATACTCATTTGAATGTACTTTGAATCGTGTGAAATGAATGTTGTTTGACCTATGTTCAACTAACATTATTTTTGGAATATTCTGTTTTATTACATCACACATCTCACCAGTGAAGATCCGGGTTAGAATAGGTCTTCAGCAACCCGTGCCTTTCCCAAGAGGTAACTAACGGGATCGGGTGGTCAGGCTCGCTGACTTGGTTGATACATGTCATCGCTTCCCAATTGCCTAGGTCGATGATCATGATGTCAATCACTGGATTGTCTGGTTCAGACTCGATTTTTTTCACAGTCCGCCGTCATGTAGGTGGAATATTGCTGTGTGCGGCGTTAAACAACAAACAAACAAATATCTCAACAAAATATCAAAATATCTCAACATTCCATAGAGTATCATGCAAATATGTGCCTTGCCATTCCAAATTTTATTTTTATGGCATTTGTTTTCCTCATTTTATTATTGGTTGTTTTACTATATATATATGTACCCCAAATTGGATTGAAATTTCAATGGCCTCTGCGAACATGTGATATAGGTTCTCGTGTCTCTGGTGACACTGGCGTGAGTATTTTTAGATGATAATAAGATTCGGGTATGTGAGCATTTTCACAGTACATATTTTGTTGTATTATCGTTTGATGTGAATTCCCTAAACCTACTTAACCTCAACTCAAATATCTGAGAGACGACTAAATGGGGGTCGGGTGGGCAGTCTCCGGGACTTTCAAGGCTGTTTGACACCGACGGCGTGGACCGTTCGTCATGCTATCAACTTGACTATATACAGGCTGCCCTATTGGTGGGATACTGCTCAAGAGTTGGTAGATGCGGCGTCAAAAGACAAAATACCCTCCAAAAACCTACATGTGTCTTAGAGCTGTATGTGATCTCGTGTTGGGAATAAGTGATGCAGGTGTGCATTTGAAATCAGTATGGCGCAGAATCAGAGGGAATTCTACGATTCCGCGATGGCGGAAAGTTTTGAAGAAAATCATTCGTGACCAACTCGTGTTATTCCGGGACAAGCCGAATAGCGGTCTTCTTGTGAGTTACGGAAAGGGGCGAGTGGTGACGAATGGAAGAAAATGTGACTTATGGCCGAATTTTATTAGATTGAATATTTCATAAATCAATACTCTATTTTTCAATATTTTCAAGCTTTCTATCGCATTTGGCACTTGAATGATGCCCAAAATTTAACATGCGATCCAAACATGCGAAAAATGAATCCTAAATAAAACGAAATTCAAAATGAATAATTGTCACTTTTTAACGTTCATGTGGTATCATGACTACATGAAGCTGGCATGCTAAACTAACCATAAAAGTCTAAATGCAAGAGAATAAAATTTGTAAAGAAAAGAGAAGAGTTCATTTTTGAGGCGGAAATGGTTTTGTTTTTACGGCAGACGTTTCGTACTTTTACAGAAAGAATAACGTTGGACTGGATTGTTCCGGTTTTAGATTAGAAGACACGATGTTAAGGAATGAGTTATGTTATTTCATTGTGAAGACAACTCGATGTGAAAGGGTTGGATGAAGTTATCATATTGTGAAGACTTTACTCGGTGTAAATGAGTTGGATGATGTTAATATATTGTGAAGAATGTACTCGATGTGATGGAATGGATGATGTTCTTTCATTGTGAAACTTACTCGAAGTAATAAGGGTTTGGTGTTGTTATTTTATTGTATATAGATTTTATTGTGAAGACTGTATTCGATGTGAAAAGGTTGGATGATATCATGCGTATCATAGACCAGATTTACATGTTCTTCCATGACTCCATTAGGTACAGACTATTTTTTTTCGAGGCGAACGAATCAGCTGCAAAACCAGATATGTTTTCAAGTAAGACTACGAGCCTAAATATTTAAAACAAACAAGCTTGCAAGAATGTGTTTTTTGTGGCAGACAAGCTTAATTTTAATTTTCAAGCAAATACTGGAACATTTTTAAAATAAAATAAATAAATAAAATCCCAGGCTTCTCACAGAATATGAAATGGTCGGTCCTAACATGTCTGTGATTATTTCAGCAGATTTCGTGGTCTCTTTTATATCTATTTTTCTATCACTAATACCTCGGCACTCGCACTAGATAATATAACAATCATTAGATCTTGACAACAAAATATACACTTGGCATTATGGTTAACACAACGCCTTTATGTTCGTATGTCTGAGTGTTTGTGTATCGTTTGAAAATACGTGACGTCAGTTTATGTCTCATGTTGATGCTGCTGAAACATTGGTACAAGTACTGATTCATATCATATGCATATATCATAACCAATTAAAAGAGTTATCAGTATGTATGGAGAAGTTACAGTTAGTTTTCTGTATTCCAATACATAAACATTGTATGTTACTTTGTGAATGTTTTATGTGACCATAAATATCAAACGATGCTGAACTCATTTCCGGGGATACAATCGTACAACGCACGTCTCGACCAAAAGCACAAATAGCAGCTCTGCATCAGGTGATGTCTCGCATTAGCGACTGGCATCGGTCGTTATTCTAGGCTACGGGAACAAAGAGCGCGTGAGATAGTTTGGTTTAACACCGCTTTGAAGAGTATTCAAGTCAGTTTAATGTGGAATGAAAGCCCGAAGTGATGCCGGTCTCTGATGTGTACCAATATGGTGAAACCCACGAGCACGGACGTGGAGCTGACAAACCGAGACACATAATCGGGGCGAACCGGGATTCGAACCCACGAGCATAGGTTTCTGACGTGTCCAAGGGACGCAACTCTGCACAGCGAATGGAGCGCCTTAGACGACTGGGCCACCCGTGCCCCCAGGGGAACAAAAATATACTGCTGTTCAAAGAAATACTGTTTGTATCTACATTATGTATCTCGTTAATCATGCTTAACTTGATATATAAATATTTTTTTTATATAGTAAAGCGCTATTGAGACTGCTGGTGCTATCAAAACTGTAATTTCAAGATTTACCGAAAGCAGTTCATGCGATTAACGAGTCTGTCCCAAAAATAATTGCAGGCAAACTAATAAATTCAATAGTGTTTTTTTTCTGACGATTTTTTTCAATCGTGTTTGTAACCATCCCTCTCACCCATATTGGGGATTTTGCGCAATGAATAATGTTTGTCATGGAAGAATTGGGTATGTTTTCAATTTAGAACTGTTCTATGTTGATTGCCCATGGGTTAGCGGTGTCATTGTGTTTATCTCCAAATGGTGCGATTATATTTTGTCTGCTTGATCTGATGTTGATTTAGGTAATGTTGAATAAAAACTAAGGTTTTCTTTCCTGTGTTGTTCTTAATCCGTTGATTGAGTGAAGTTAGTACACCAAGCTAGGCGTGCCTGACGGTGACGTGGAAGCAACATTGGGCGCGTGGCTTGTCGGGGGCGGATGTTGTGCTCCCTCAACCGGTTGCTTACAATTCTGCCACTAAGTGCTTTCAACCCAGGAAGTGTCCTGGCTGTTTATGTGGCAGTTTGTATCGATTCTGTAGATGCACCATCCGAATATGGTTGTCTTGTTGACGTGCCGTCACGTGGACGACCAGCCCTTGGCAAGTCACGAGTGTTGCCCTACACGCACGCACGCACGCACGCACGCACGCACGCATACCATCTACCCAAACCCCAATACCAACCTTACGTTCAATATGACGAATTAAATTCGTCCACGTGTCAGTTTCCAGACTACTAGTATGTGACTAACTCGCGGCTGTTTCCAAATAGGATTTTTTTTTCGCGCCAAATGTTACACATCCGTCATGGTCAGGTCTGACGTTTAACGGTTAAAATTGAGGTAGAAATACAAACGCCGACGGCTGGCTCGCCAAATGTTACCACCTCAAACTCAGTGATCAATGACTTGAATAATGAAACTACTTGCCTGAAGTAGTCACATACTGTAGTTTTGCCCTTTGGATTGAACCATGTTAGATCCCAGTATTGCAGCAAGGGGAAATGTTTCACTTTTCTCTCGTAATCAGGCTACATATGACGGGAAAACTTACTTCCCTTACATCATACACATTGACAATGCCAAAGCATCGACCACAAGTTAAAATATTTGTCTTTTGGGAGGTGGGCTGGTCTGTGCATAACACACGGTGAAATACAAACACCGACAAGAATCAGATTCGGCTCGCCAAATGTTATTACCTCAAACTCAGTGATCAATGACTTGAATAATGAAATTACATAAAAACGTGTGCATTCGTTATTATTGCATGTCAACGTCTGTTGGAAATTGAATTATATTAATTTTATAAACATTGCGTGTCGCATCACGTATCGCATTGCGAAACTCAAATTCCAGGCGACTGGTGTAGGTACGGCCAGACATTTACATAGGACATTAATCCTGTAACAATTCGGGGCAAGGGTGGACCATTCGTCAAAGCCGCCGCATTTCGCTGTGCAGAGTTGCGTCTCAAACCAATGCTCGTGGGTTCGAATCCCGGTTTGCCCCGATTGTGTTTCGAGGTTTGTCATACCCGTGTTCGTGGGTTTCACCAAAGTGGTAAACATCTAAGACTTGCATCACTTCGGGCCATATTTAGCTGACACGCCATGATATAACTGGAATACTGTTCAAATCGGCGTTAAACCCAACTCACTCACTCTCTATCTACCTCACCGGAACAATTAATCCGAACCATTCCACTCGGAACGGTCCCGTCCGGTTTAACGAGGTTTCTCTGTATGTAAATTTAATTTCACACGAACGCATACATAATAATCGGCATCTTATTGTGTACTAGTGTAACATGTTTTAATATTCTACACGCGTGCACAAATAGATGTCGATGCATGTACAGATTTTTTATCTTTAATGTAAACTCTCTTGAATGAAATTTAGCATTATCAGATGAAAAGGGAACCACCAGAGGTAAATCAATTCTTGTCTTGGAATGGATAGGATGATATGGCGTAGATTTGTTTGGAGATCAGATCAATAGAAAATAAATAAATTAAAAGAAAAGCGTCAAAAACATTTCCATAATCATACTAAATTTCCTTTGAACTATTCCGACTAAAGCATAAGCATGTGTTTTGGAATCACGATACCGAAGTGATGAGAAAAGGTGACGTAAACTATCCCACCGGTGGCACCAGTCACAAACTTTTCGATACTGTTACCGATTAATGTAAATTGAAATTAGCAAGAGAGAGTTCACTTCAAAATATTCGAGACAGCGAACTGACAACAGTTTTAACTCGCAAACAGATGTTACCGATTCTGTCATCGCAAATTAAGAGTGTTTGATTTGTACTGATCTACAGCTTACAAGACCCGTAGCTGTAATACCTAAATATCCATCAGAAATCAGCATTCGAATATAGTAAAACACATTTCTCTTTCGCCGTCATTTATATATATTTGGGAAATGGAGGCTTCCTTTTTATTTTTGTTTTTGATGAGTTCAGGGGCTGTGTTAACCGAATTTTAAATTTCCAAACTTACATCTGGTTGTTTTACATTAAACTTAACCCAACTCACTCACACAAGGGGTGTTAACTTAGTGCATGCAAAGAAAGGTTAACGTTCGCGCATCTCCTCCACAACAGATGGACGCACCGGCATGACCGATGTTATTGACCAGTCTTCAGTTCAAACCAGTAACCAGATTCCTGTCAAGTTTTATATAGCATTGATATATAATGCAGAGTCACATTGCACTGGATCCGATATATCCTAAACACGCAAAAAACAGATTTTCATAACATAATACAATTTTGTATAAACTGTTTTTCTATCTATTTACAAAAGCTTTAAATTTTCAAAACTCCAAATTCAATACTTTGCGTCTGTGGATGAAGATTTGGATTGCCAACATCACACGGCACTGATGAAACTTGCTAATTCATCATGATACTGCTAATTCTTTACAAGGAGAAGCACATTTCATTTCCCAGGCTGAGAGGGTACCTCAGAAACTTTATTGCTCGTTTATGACAAGTGAAAAAAACATGACTGTGTATTCGTGACTTTGGATCTTATTAGTGTCGTAAATTTCCTGTAAAGTGGTCATTCGGACGTGCAAACTGATTTTCAGTGGTCCATTCATAAACTTTTCACAGCTCTTTTGCGCTTTTCGCCAATTGGATCTGTTGTAGTGGAAAATCTAGACTGGTTACTCTCTTGCATTGACAATATATATTTTCTGAAATTGGGACAAAATACTTTAAGATACTGATGCCATTTTCAAATTTCAAAAACTTAAATGGTGCTTCATTCCGTCACCCTGATAACATATTTTATACACTTGAAATGTGCAATTTGTTTATCATATAAGGTAATACCTGCAGTTTGTGTAAACCTTTTTTGAAAGTAATATAAACCAATAAAAGATCGTTTTGTAGGGTTACCTTAACCTTTTATCAATGGGTCGTTTCTGTGATGTTTGGGCTATTCATGTGACCGATAATATATACCTAAAGTACTAATGTCACATTCCTAGATGTATAAAACGATAACGATATCCATGTTTGTGGGATTAAATAATGTTAATTTCCATGAAACGCATCATGTACAATATCAAGCTGTCACGCTTTTATCTAACTGACATAAAGCCTCCTTAAACATGGGGCACGGGTGGCCCAGTCATCTAAGGCGCCGCAAATCGCTGTACAGAGTAAATATAACTTGCTGACCTCGTCATCAGATCTTTAGCGTTTAGACTTTAACAAGTGTACATCCATGTCATTTCTATGGAATACTGTAAGAGACATTCTCGCGATCTCGCATTCTCGCGATCTCGACCTTTGGAAATGAGCTAAATATGCCCCAAACACGAGAATGCGAGATAGCGAGAACGCGAGATTTAGACAAAATATCGCGTTCTCGCGATCTCGCGATCTCGCATTCTCGTGTTTTTGATACATAGCACTTTTTGTCAAAAGTCGACAACGCGAGAATGCAACATTTGGACATGATGCAAAATCTCGCAACCTCTACTTGTCAAATTAGGCCACAAAAACACGAAATCGCGAGAACGCTAGAATGCGACATTTCATTTTCTCGTGTTCTCGTTTTTTAGACGCTGTCGGTGCTCATGCGTAATATCATAAGGTCAAGGCGCATGCGCACGTTAGCAGTCCGGTGGTCATGCTTCTTTCATGCTCTTCATTCTCCAAGTAGCATTTAGCAAACTTGACTTGAGTTTGAAAATGCTATCATGTAATTTACAAACACAAAGTCCAATGTAGCGCAGAGTCTTTTCACTTTGGTACAGTTTCCTATGTACTTTAAATTAAAACCCTCAACATTTTCATTATAATTTAACAAAAGAAATTGTGTACATGAATGTCCAGTGATAGTGAAAACATTGAAGTGTGAGGAAGCTGAAAACAATATATATCACTGTCAGTGAGAGAGTATATATTGCTTAAAGCCACATCAGCAGTATTGCAGCTATTCGCGGCTGCACTGTCAATTACACGAATAATCACAGGCCAGTGATTTTCTCCATGAGGCAATATTATACACGGCTAGCATATTCATCAAAACAAAATTCTCAAAGACCAATTTGTAGCATTCGGCTAAAATGAGATTGTCCGATGTTTTAACACGACACCATAGTCGCTAATTTAGGCCATACAAAATTGATTAATAGATTATCATCGTCTCCCACCTGACTACAAAACATCCCGCCTTACATTATTCTATTGCCTCAAACTTCCTAGAAATAGAAATATCTCTAAATGTGTGATCCTACTCCGTGCACGTAGCCCTACTGAACACACATGATACATGTGAATAGCACCCTTCGACAGCAATTGTACACAGATGCCCTAAATAGTTCGATAAGAAAACAATAAAATGCTAAAAATAAAATACGTTCCGTCTCCCATGTATTTTAAAATTCAATCAAACTCTAACTAATAGTTCACTGCGGCCTTGACATCCACATGATAGGTATGCTTATACAGTAACTGGAAAAGTACCCCCAATATCCAGGGACCGACATGGCTCTGAATAAGTGAGTGAGTTTGGCTTAACACCGCTTTGAACAGTATTTATATTTCAGTTATACCCTGGCTTGTCAGCTTGATATGGGACGAAACCCACCATCATAGGTTTCTGGCACACCCAAGAAACGCAACTCTACACAGCGAATTGCGACGCCTCAGACGACTGAGCCACTAGATGACTGTATAGGTAATTGACACAAAAGTACGAGAACGCGATATCGCGAGATCGCGACATTGGTCAAGTGTCGCAATCTCGCTATCTCGCGATTTTGAAAATAGTTGCACATAACTGTATGGGCGATTGACACAAA